TAATTGGTATTGAATCAAATGAACAAAGATTAACATGTTTAATAGATGCAAATCCAACTGTAACATCAGTTTATTGGACAATCAATAGTACAAATATAATTAGTCGTATGTATAGAAAAAAAAAAAGAAAATTTATCAGGGTGATTGTTTGAAGTAGTCAAAATGTGGAATTCATAAACTCTAATTGTTATAAATTTATAGTATATTATCAGAGGAATTAAAATAATTGATGAATAAATCAAAGATTATAATAATTTTTATAGTTGATACGTGCACGTTCTACAATTTTCATCATTTTCGATAGTTCATAATAATCTTTTCTCAATCAAGCAGATATAGAAAATGTTATTCCTAAGTGAAGTAGAATTGTTCGAAAAATCTGAGACAGATTAATTAGAATCTGTTAAAATTTTCCTTCATCTTCATCACTATTATACATTGAAAAATGCGAGTTGACACTGATTATGTGAAGCCTTACCGCTCTTCTGATTGACACCTACAAAAAGATCATTTCCCGTTGTTATGAAAACATTCCCAATGATGTTTAGTTTTCCTCTTCTCTCACTTCCAGTTGCTAAGGCCTAGAAATGATGAGTCTCAATTTAAACTTACTATTTTCTTCAGGCGAAATCAACGTTTATTTATCACGATTAACATCTGAACAAAGTGGAGTTTATACATGTGTAGTTGAAAATGCTATCGGCAAAGTTAATCAATCAATTTATCTTGATGTACAATGTAAGATTTAAAAATATTTTTGAAAGAAAATACAAATTGTTTGATGAAAAATTTCTTTTATGTGTATGTGTGTGTGTGTGTTAAGATGCTCCACGTGTTTATGCAATAGAATCTCGTGTAATTGTAAATCGTTCAAATTCTGCTATACTTCGTTGTTATGTTGATTCAAATCCTTTACCATATCAAATAATATGGTTTAAAAATGGTTATGAAATATTTCGACAAAATCAATTATCAGATTTACGTATTGATCATGTTGAAAGAAATGATTCTGGTTTATATACATGTATAATATATAATCGTTTATATAATAATTTAACACGAAATGGTTCGAGTATAATTGAACTTATTGTACAAAGTCGACCAATATTAGAAACAACATATTCAAAAATAGCTGCAGAAATTGGACAAACAATAACATTAATATGTAGTGTATCAGGACAACCAAAACCAAATATTTTTTGGAAACGAAATGAACAATTTATAAATTGTGATGAAATAATAGATGATAAATGTTATTTAAGATTATTTCATATAACAAAAAAAGATTTTGGTTCATATCGATGTATAGCTGAAAATTTATTAGGAAGAGAAGAATGGACATATACAATTGTATCAAGAGGTATGATTTTAATGAATAATTTAAAACTTATACTTGTGTAATTCAAATCGAACAACACAAAAATAAACTTGCAACATCAGTAGAATATTATTCAATGAAATACGAAATAATATATTTTGACAGTTGGATAGATTTTCGTTTCGTATCGTTCTACCAGCAAAGAAACGTTTCTAAGTCATGGTTCCTTTCAGGAAAACTGAGTTTCAAATGTCGACTTTAAACTTTGTATAGAGATAGACCTTAATAAGAATAGCTTATTGTAAAAGTTCCAGATTTTTTTTTATTGCGTCAATTCTGAAATACGAACATCGGACCTTGTAGTTGTATATGAGCGGCATGACAAAAAACATGCTTTTACCATAAACTATTCTCATTAAAATGTGTCTTTATATAAAGTCTGGAGTCAAAATTCGAAACTCAGTTTTTCTGAGGAGGATCACCATACCCTCCTAAACAATATAGTATGTTGGCAGTAATAAGCTGTTAATCCAAATATTGAAAGTTCATTAGAACCTACATGATACATAAATTCTCGACTTAAAAGCGATTTGACACTTAGAGATGTCTCTCTTCATAAAGGATTTTCGAAAATTAGGAAATAGTGCAAGCAGATTCGTGTGAGTAAATGATGTTTGATGAATCTTTAATTATTGCATTAGATTAAGATGTGTAAGAGCTTTTAAAACTCTTGATTTATTCAATTTTATGATCAAATTTTCCTTCCTAGATAATTGTTTCTCTCAATTGAATTATAATTAGTTTCAATCTGATTTGAATAGAACCAACTCAGTTACAAGTTTGGAAGGAGTAGAAAATATGTTCGTATGAATATTTGTTAGAAGCAGAGCTAGAATTCCCTTTCGATTAGATTTTCCTATGACAGTATAAAAAATTTCGACATTTTTGACAGAATAAAATCTGGCTCGATAAAATCTCCTATTGATTTATATTTTGCATACAACATTTAATATGATGAAAACTTGTGTATTTCTAATTAAGGTAAACCGGAAGCTCCACATGATATACGTGTGACAGAAATAACATCATCTTCATTTAAAATTCAATTTTCTCCATCATTTGATGGTGGTGGTGGACCACAACGTTTTTTAATTGAAGTTATTTTACATGATAAAAATACAACATTTAATAGAACAATTCTTAATCAACAATTACCATATGATACATATGAATATATTGTTAAAGGTAAAGATTTAATATTATAAATAAATAAATAAATAAATAAATCTATTTAATTATTTAGATTTAAATGAATCAACTTTATATATATTTCGTATTAAATCAATGAACATTTATGGTGAAAGTCCATGGACTATAGAAACATTTGTACAAACAACAGAATCAATAATAACATCAGATGGTATTGAGAATTTTTTTGGTTTTTATATAATTGAAATTTCTATTTTTATTTTTGCATGTTTTATTAGATTTACCACAATTACGTGTTATATCATATAATACAAAGGAAAATATTCTTTATTTTGATTATTTACCTGGTGATGAACGTTTAGTAAAAATAAATCATCAACAATTATGTTTAAATATTCGTCAATCAACAGATGGAAATATTTATCAATCAATTGATGAATGTTTATCTATAGATAATAATCGTGTTAAATGGATAATAAAAAAAGAATATCCTTATTTAAAATTATCAATATGTTCAAAAAAATATCATCATATATGTGGACAAGAAACTGAAATGAAAGAAGGTTTTAATTTTTTTTTTTTTTGAATTTCTTTATTTTTTGATGAAATTTGTTTTTCTATTAGATTCATTTAGTCGAAATTCAACACCAATGATAATTGGCATTGTTGTTATAGCTACTTTTCTTATTCTTATTATTTTAACATTTATTGGAATATTATGTTGTCGTTGGAAAAAAAATCATTTAACATCAAATATAAATAAAACGAATAAATGTGAGTATAGAAATAATAAATCACTTTATTCTAACGAAAGAACCTTCTCCTATGTTTCCTTCCCATTTCAATGATTTTGTTTTTTTTTGTTTGCCTATAGACACTGCATAGTGTGTTCTAATAAAAAATCTATTTTCATAGGACACCAGATTTTCGGAAAACTCGTATTTTGATCTAAAACTTTATATATATATAGAAAACTCAACTAGAAGAAAAAAACCTAGAAATTTTTGAACAAAGTCTCTTCAAGATATAAGACTTTCAGGAAGATAGTATATACAACACACGTTTTGTTTTTTTTGTTCTAGTTGAGTTTTCTATATGTACAAAGCTGTAGATCAAAATACGAATTTTTTCGAAAACAGATTTTTTATTAGAACACTATGTAGTATCTATAGGTTAAAAAAAACATAAATCTGACAATCGCTGTGAATTCTGCTACTAACACGTCTTACACATTATAATAATCAAGTCATAATTGACTGTCAGCTTTAGGGTATAGCTCATTGGGTTGGTTTGGGACTAACCTAATGGGCTCTAGTCACAATATTCGCAACATTCTTTTTTGAATATCATTGTAGTAGCAGCGGCATATGGACATAAATCGATTTTGACTAGAAGTAAACATTTGAGGAAATAGTTTTGAATATTTGTATTAAGAAATTTTCTTTCTAAAGAAAAGAAAATAAAAGTTAGGTTTTTCTTCTGTTCGGTGTTGAGAAGACTAGTCAATTATTTTCTATTAATTCTTTTGAATTTTGTAGTTGCTATCAATGGTCTTGAAAATGGTGTTAAACCGTAAGTATATAATGATGATAATAATAATAATAATAAACATTATATTTTTCTTTCTATTAGAATTATTTCTGAACCTTGTCTACAAAATCCTTATTTATTATATAATAATACAAATACTCATACATCTCCATATGATTTTTCAGCAAATGAATATCAACAACGAAAAGTTTCTACTTCATTTTCTCGTTCATGTAAGTTAATCATTCTCTCTATTTTCATAATATTATATTAAATTTTATATAATATATTTCTTAGATGATATTGTTGATCGAGATCAACCAAAAGATGAAATATCTGTGCATGATACTGGTTCTTCATGTAAATCTTTTTACTTTTTATAGAAAAAAAAAAAAAGAAATATTTTCTTTTATGATCTTTAGATGGTACTGCAAATCGTACAGCAACAATCCGTGCATCACCTCATTGGTTAATGAATAATGGTGCAAGTAGTTCTCGATCAGGTTCAAATCCTTCATCAGAATTAAGTTGTTTAACTCAAAATACAAATATTTTATTTGTTAATAATGAAACAAATTCAAATCATACTCCACCACCAATATCGCATTATGGTTTTCCATCATCATCATCAACAACAACAACAACAAAACATCATCCAATAATGAATGGAAATTCAACATTACGATCATCATCATTTGATCAACATCAATCATCAAGTGGTAATTCAACACCAAATCGTATGAAAAGACTTTTCTATGAAGTTGTTGTTTAAAAATTTCTTCTTTATATCTTTACCGGTGATATTCTGTTTATATATTTACATTCATCAGATATGTATGTCTTGCATTTGTGTGTGTGTGTGTGTGTGAGTTTGATTAGTTAATATATGTATTTCAATAATAAAAAAAGAAACAGAAATGATGTCTTTTTTTTGTCTTGTCTCTTAGGAAGTCACATATCCAGTTTGATTTATTCGACGTATTTTACGAAGAATAACAGCATGACGAAGACGTTCAATTAATTTTTCACTTTTTTTATATAAATCATTTAATTGTTCAATAGCTTGATAACCACGTCCACTTTCAATTAATTGACTCATATTAAAAATAAGAGTTTCAAATAGATATATACTATTGGAAAATTCAATTGGATTATTAGCATAACCATCAGCAGCTACAGCAATAAATTCACATATACGATGTAAATAAATGATATATTTAACCATTTCATATGAATGTCGTAAAAGTTCTTCACGTTTATCAATTTGTGATTTAATAAGTTTAGTATCAAAACAAGTTTCTCTATCTAATGGTATTGTTCCAATAAGACGTTTAACATTTTCATTTTGTTTTGTTTGATTTTGAAAAGTACGTTGATGTCGATGATGAATTGCAAGTTCATAAAGTTTTCGAGATGGATTACGTTCTTTAGTTAGAACTTTTTTTTGAATTGATATTTGTTGTTTTGGACATTGAAATTCACCATTAGATGAAAAATGATCTTTCCAATAAGCAGTACAAAGCCAACAAAATTCAGCACCACATCGACATGTCATATGATTACAACCACCTAAATTATATGACACAAAAACAAAAATTTATTTTTTTTATTTTAATAATAAAATAAAAACTAACCGTTCTTTTCAATAAAATTATTACATGATACACAATGTCGACCTCTAACTATAAGTTTAGTATTATAATCAGAAAGTAAATCACCGTTTTGATATACTTCATCTATATATGCTCGATAGGAAGTACATGTTGCTGGAAAATGTGGTTCTTGTTTACAATCAATACAAAATTGATGACCACAACGACATCGAACATAATCAATACCAGAATCAATAATTTGAAAAATAATTGAACATGATTTTAATGGACATTTAATATATGAACGAGATAAATTTACAAGACATTTTTCTATATTACGTTCATAGATATTCATATAATGAATATTAACCAAAGATAAAATTGTACCTAAATAGATAAAGATTATTATTTGAAATTCTATATCAGATTTTATTCAATACATTCTTCGGATTGAATCAAAACTTCCACATAGAATGCAATATACTTAGTCTTTAATTAGAGATTTGACCGTTAATATTTTTTAGTTTTAATTTTTCCCTACTTTTTCAAGTTAAAGTACAAATATTCGTGAGAGATATTTATACTTTAAGAAAAGTACTTCGTGTTTATATTTCAGTATGAAACAATATCGTTTTGTATATTTGAGGTATCTTTCTATTACGTTGAAATTTTGGCAGTTACTCATAATGTTAGGGCAACTATCATAATTTTTGATAAGTTAAAAGTATCACAAAAACCAAGAAAAAGACGTTTTTTTTACGATATTTATGATGCTTTTAACTTTTTAAGGGAAGGTGGTAGAAAATGCGGCGACCTCTTTAAAATGGCATTGTTAAAAAATAACTTCTCAGGCCTGAAAACTATCGTGTTTGGTTTCTCAGAAGCTATACCATATAAAATCTTAATATGAAGTGCATTCGATAGAGAACTCTATCGGCTATTAAATCACTATTTAGATTTCGACTAACTGTTTAATATTATAGAAAAACCTCAAAAATATGTTGTTATTAAACTTTTTTCAACCAGCTTACTTTCAACTGATCAATCGTTTTTGAATTCGGACTCTGTACATAAAGTACAGACCAGTGATATATGAAAAAATTCAAAAGAATAAGTCCCATAGGCCTTCTGTCCAGAGTTATAGGCATTTTACTAAACTTTTAGCCTCGGACATGATATATACGAATAAATCGAAGGACAGTAATTCGACCTGAGATTGTGCCCACAGATAGATCTATTTGTCAGTAGAGTGTCCTGAAACTTTTAGCTCAAAAGAATATTTCTTTCCTGAGATATCGAAGTCGCAAAAAACTAACATCTTTCTTTACATATGAATGATATTTATGTGGGCACAATCTCAGATCGAAATATAGTCCTTCGATTTATTGGTACATACCATGCCTGAGGCGAAAATTCTAGTAAAATGCCTATAGTTATGGATCGAAGGCCTAAGGAACCGTATCTTTTTGAAGTTTTTCAAAGCATACTGTACTATATTTTATACACGGACTCCAAATCAATTGGAAGCATTCTGTTCGCTAGTTCAATAATTTTTTTCAAGTTCTTTGTTTTTGCGATTAACAATTTAAGTTACAAAAATCTAATATTCAATCTCTGTACATGTCTGATTCTGATTGATAAATAAAGTTTGAAATGAAATATAAAAATTTAGAAAAAAACAAATCTTACCAATATCAACAAGTGAACAACAATTCCATTCTGGACAACGTATAACTCGAATAGATTTAATTGAATTTTCAAGATATTGTTTCCAACAATGATTACATAACCAATGTGAACAAGATTTTAATGCTGTCATTGGTGTTAATTCATTCATATCACAACAACAATTTGTACAAATATCAGGTCGACTTAAATTATTATTATTATTATTATTTAATTCTTCAATATTTAATTTATTTTGTAAATCATTTTTATCTAATAAATGTATTTGATGAATTTGTTTATTAATAAATTCACATTCACTTAATTGATTATCTATTTCATTTGGATACAATTTTCTTTGATTGATTTCTAAATTAATTGATTTAAATTTATCCGTTGATAAATTTGTTATAAATTCAATTGTTTTATTTATTAATTCATCAATTTTATATATATTATCTTTTGATTGAGATAAATTTTCAATTTCTATTGTATCAGTATATAAATCCATATTAAGAGCTACTTGTCCTTGACAAATATTATTTTCATTATTTAATTCATTATTATTTAATATGATAAAAAGATAACAATTAAGTATTCGATTAGATGAAAAAAAATTTAATTTATTTGACCATTGAAATGATTTTAAACGATCTGTAAGACAAATTAAATATTTTGTTGGATAACATTGAGCATGAAGAAAATTTTTTCCATAAGTTTTTGATAGATATTCAATAGTTAATTCTGTTTGATGTAAAAAAATCGTACGAAATGATAATGACATTAAACGATGAGAAGATTTTCCTTTTGATTTATTTGTTTCATTAGGTTTTCGTTGCTAAATTTGATGAGAAAAAAAAAAAAGAAAAATAAATGTTTAAAAGAAACAATTTCAATTATATATATTCATACCATTTTGACATATGTAGTCCTATCTTGATTATAAAATTCTTCTTCTGTACTTATTTGTCGATAAAATCGATTTTTTTGTTGCAATGAATTGATTTCATCAGAAGATGTATGTAATGATTTTGAATGACATTTATTGATTTGATCAGAATTTTCACATTTAAAAGATATTTTATTATTATTATTATCATCGATTGATGTAATAGTAATGAAATCATTTAATTGTAATTCATCAGGTTTTGAGAAAGTATAGTGCTACAATTGAATAAATGAAGTTAATAATAAAAAAACAAAGAACAAATTTGAATATTTACTGATATTATGGATTCATCGTCATCCGTTGATAAGTTTTCTTTTTCATTTTCTAATTGTTCCTCACTATCTAACCGTTCTTTTACTTCAGTAAATTTATCACGTTGTATATATGATCTTGTTTTCTTTCCTATGATAGATAAGCAAAAGAAATATTTCGATAAAAATGTATGAAGGTTATTACTTTTTGTATTAGAATTTTTTTTAATATTAACTAATTGTTTTTCTCGTGGTGCTGGAACTACTGCGAAATAAGTTATATCGGGAGTAACTTCTTTTGTTTTATTATTATCATGTTCTACATTATTATTTTGATGATTTTGTTCTTCTTTTTTTTTTATATTATTTATTGATTTATTCATATAAGTTTTTCTAGGTGTTTGTACATGTCGTTCTGTTGTATTATTGGTCATTCTTATACAATTAGATTTTCGTTCAATTTGATGAAATTCATATAAATGATATTTTGTTTGATGAATATTTACATATTGTTGTCGAGTTTTTTTCTTTTTTCGTCTTTGTTTCAAATCAAATTGTGTATTAAATTCATTATCTGATGATGAATTTGATTGATTAGCAATATATTCATGAATATCATTTAAAATATTCCATCGTTGTTGTTTATTTAAAGAATATTCAATATGAGGTTGTTGAATACCAAATAGATCTTGTTTATCATAAAAAGACTCATTTAATTGTTCATCGATATTTTTCCATATTGCATGAATATATGATTTTGTCGATGATTGATTAGGATTATGATGTAAATAAAGACTCTTACCACTAGCATTATTATATTTAGTTGGTCGTAAATTTGGTTTTTCATCGTCTATACTATTTGAAGCCATTTAATAGAAGAAAAAGCTATTCTATTTAAAAAAAAAAAGTAAATTCTAGAAGTAAAAATTTATGTGGATTTTTATACATTATAAACTTCATGATTATATGTGTTCTTGCGTAAGAATAGCGAAATTCAATGAAATTATTTTGTAATAACTTCAATGAACAGATAAAATATTTGTGATTAAGGATAACATTTATTCTTTTGCAAGAGAAAAGTAAATTATCTTTGTTATATAATTCAATAACAGATAAGATCAAATATTTCTTGATTTTTTGATAAAAATTTAACATGCAATTTCTCTTCCGTCATATGTCGCCCTCTGTCTGTTGAGAATATTGATGAATAGAATGATAAGTTGTATAATTGTACGTACTCTAATGGATTGTATTCGACAAGCTATATTAAGAATATGTATGTATAACATATTTATATTGTTCTTTTATAGACTCATATAGGTGTTTTTTTTTTGATCTAGACAATATGCAATCATCATCATGGATGACATCTAATAATTCAAAGTACGAAAAGATTTTAAAATTATACGTATAATATATATATATATAAATATGAAAAATCTATTTTCTTTTGATAGTATTCCTACAAATTCATCTAATTTGTGGTCCAATAGAGGGTATCGAAAACGTAAAGTAGATACGAGTGATTTTGAAGAAAAGTTAGAAAAAAAACGATAAATTTTTTTATTCTTTATATTCAAATTTTAATTTATTAATTAGATATCAAAATAAAATATTTCTAACTGAAGAAATATTAATTAAAAATATGCAAACACTTTCATTAGATTTATCTGAAAATAAAAATACGTCAATCTCTTACAATTCACAAGATGATGAGTATGAAAAATTTTTTTTTTTTTGTTAATTTCTTTTTTTGTTCGTTGAATTTTCTTTTTGTTATTATTTTTATTTTGTTCGTTAGAGAAGAGAATATTAATCAAAATGAAACAGATAAGTTATGTCGAAAAGAAACACGATTTGAAATACATAAATTATTAAAAGATAATTTAAGAAAAAATGATTTACAAGATAGTTTAATTAATAAACTTTATGATTTTGAATGGTGAGATGATATTCTTTAAATAAAGTTTTGTTTTTTTTTTTCATCTTAGATTTTCAGTAAAAAATTGTCTATGCAAATTGTTCCTTATATGCCAATTTACCCAGTGCAATTCAATAATAATAATCCAATGATGGATGAAAAAGAACAAGAACAAGAAAATCAAAATCAAAATTCATCTCCTATTATAGTTAAAGAAACAAAAAAAGAAGATGATGATCTTTTATTCAAGCGACCATTTCCATCAACACCTTATACAGTCGAAGAACCACTTGAAAATTCAACTAAACGAACTTCAAAAATGAAAAGGTTAGAATATTAATAAAAAAAAGAAATTATTATTATTATATTCAATGAAAGTTCATCTTCTATTATTGCCTTTTTATATATAGGAGTTATTCTCAATCTGTAAGATATAATAGCAATCTATCAGTAATTGAATTAAAAAATGATACAGATGATTGTTCATTTCATACGACAGAATCAGATTATTTTGTTGTTGAACCAAGTACACCTGTGTAAGTAAAGAAACCCACACAAGACATAGATAAAATGTTTAAAGAATTATAATTGATTCTCAATGTTTCAATCATCAATTTTTATTAAATTATAAATTCTTATGATAAAAACAGAAGAAATTATGCACGAAGTTTATGCTCTTATTGCTATTTGAATTTTCTAAATCAAAAAATTTTCTTACAATCAATAACTTTTCCACACTTGAAACATTTTCCTTAGCACATATACCGATCGATCCTGTACACCAACAAATGGTACATAAAGAATGATCTTCTCAGCAGTTTTTGAAATTTGAATTTGTTTAATTTTTCAAACGATAATTCGTAAAATTCTCTATAAAACTCAATGAAAATCACTGTACACAAAACCATAATTAGAAAAATATATTCAATCAAAAATGCTATATTCGAAAATAGTTCACTTTCAAACAGTAAGTTTTTACAAAATTATTTGATATTCTATGTTTGTCAGATGTACTTATTTGAACAGGACTGAGTGAGGTTCTAGCAGACAATCTTCTTCGAAAAAAAAAATCAAGTTGAAACTATTCATAATTCTTCTTAATGAAAATTAATTTTCAATTAATAATAATGGATGTCACAGAAGAAATTACATTAAATCTTAATTCAATTTTCTCGTGTTTCTTATTTATAAAAACAAAAATTTCCTGTTATACATTGTCTTTATAGAAAGTAATAGAAAATCGTAATGAAATAAATATAAGTAGATGTAAATCTTTAAAAATTTGCCTCCAACAATATTAAACTTGTTTGAAAAACAGTGTTGTATATCTTGAAATTCTATATGTTTTGACATATTAAGAAAATTTTTTTATGCATAATAAGTAAGACAAAAAAATACACCTAAAATTTTGAGGACAATTTTCTCCGAGACATCTGTTATTGATCATCAATAATTGATATTATTTTCTGTTATATATTGATATTCAAAATTACTAATTTTATATTTCGATAAGAAATCTAACGTGTTTCTTTAATGACTCGATAATATGACGTTATTGATTATATATAATATAAACCCCCGCAATATTTTTTTTATGAAATGTCAATGATTCACCTTGATGTAATAATCAGCCAATCCATACTAAAGAAAGAGAAGAAAAAACAGGGAAAGAAATAATTTTTTTCTTTTTGTCGTGAATGATTATATTGTATGATAAATAATAATAATATAAGACATATGTTATATTAGCTTGTCTTTTAGTGTGACTGACTCTTCAACCAATTGTTCGAAGCCTACATTACAATCAAATCAACCAGCCATACAAATAACTGAATATTTTGATTTTTCATCAAGATTACCAAGTAATAATAATAATAATTTTTCAAAACCATTTGAGGAAAATGATATTGATATGGAATCTAATGTTTTATCAAATGTTAATGACAAAATCGATGATGATATTTAAATAACAACTCAAAAAAAAAAAAAAAGAAAACTACCTAACTAACTTCGAATAATTCCGGTTTGTTCTTTTTATATTGATTTTTAGATAAATTCCTTTATAAAAAATAATCCAAAATCAAGCTGTGATATAAAATACGAATCAATGTCATCTGCACCAGATACACAATTGGCATTAAATACGACAACACCATGTGAAACAATAATAGATTCATCTGATATTCCAACCAAAAGTTTGACAAATAAATTTGATATAAAAACTCTTCGAGATGCTTTTGTTAATTGTGTTCGATCTGATGATACACTTCTACTTGCTGAATATGTTCGTGCTTATGAAGAATTATGCACGTAAGATAAAATAGAAAAAACAAAAAGAAAGTCTTATATTAGTATTTTATTTTTGTTTTTAGTTTTGTTTGTTCTCTTGGTACTATATTTGAATGGGCAACAAGAGATTTATCAGGTAAATTAATGATATTAAGAGAACATTTACGTCTTGATCCAATTAATTATGAATCTATACAATCAATGATTGTATACGAGATTGAATCAGGACGTATACAATCAAGAGATACAGAAATATTTATTCAACCTGGCAAACCATTACATAATGGATGTCGAACATTATTAAGATTACATCGTGCACTTGCTTTTCTTTCGGCTTTTTTAAGTCAAATGCGTACAGCACCAGATGATGCCAGTTCAGCAACTATTGCTTGCAATGCATATTCAGCAACAATGGCACAATTTCATTCATGGCCTGTTAAATATACGTATGAGAATATTTATTTATTTTTCGTTTAATCTTAAATTTTACTAACTACTATATCAAATGAGAGAACATATTTTTATATGAAGAGAAATGTACCCAGTGACCTCCAAAAATTCTGAATCTTACTTTGAAAAGACAAGAAAAACAAAAAGAAAACTGTCATCGTAATTCCTGCTGGATTAAAATGCGAAACACGATGTAGCTGTTATTACTAGTCACAGACAGACTATTTTGGGACATATTTTCTCACCGACCTTGTACTTAATGCTCCAGAAATGCAATAAGAAAATAGTTCATATATTATAATGAGATATTATCGATAAACGGTCTATGAGGAGCTTCAAATTTTCACCCTGATATCTCAACACTTCTTTTAGATTGCGTATCACAAAATAAGAAGTTTGAAAAATTCTACTTTCATTATCATTACAGATGTCACTATAACCAAAACAATTGAATTAATAGAATATCATAAAAATTAAATAACTGAAAAAAAACCAAAAATTTTACTTTCTGTTTTTAGAATTATGGCTGCCATTAAATTAACACTTCCTAATCGCCAAGAACTTGTGAATAAATTGCTCACGGAACGAACTACTGATGAAATTAATACATACACCGATGAAATAGTACAAGCATGTAATACTATTGAACTCACAACGCAGGAACTTTTTAAAACTTATAATTTGACAAAATTACCATAGGTTATTGTATTTTGTTTTGTTTTTTTTCCTATGATCTGTTGTTCTTAATCATCGACAGTATGTACTTATATTTCTTCTATTCAATTCCATTTTGTTGATAACTTTTATGAATATTGACTAACAGTTACAGTGGTTTTTGTTTTTGTTTTTTTATTATTATTATTATTATTTTTTTTTTTTGTAAAATAATCATAACATACGCTAGACATTTTATGAATCTGAACAATAAATAACAGTTATTTATTATAAATCGATTTTATAAATAAAAATAGCTTATCTAAGAAAATGATATAAGTCTTATTTGTTATTTATTTCTATAAAATCGATATATATATAAAGAAAATAACTGATTATAGTATTTTATATGCAATTTGTATCTAGTAATTATATAATTGTATTAAATAATTACTGTTTCCATTATAATGAAAAGAATAGAATGTTTCTTAATTATAATATATAACAATAAAGAAAAATACATGCCGTGAATTATTAATGAATATTTATATAATGAAATTTGTTTTACTAATTTTTTTTTGTTTAAGTTTTGAAAATTTAAAAATATTAAACTATGTATTTGAATCAAAATGGATATAAAATATTTTATAATTTCAAACTGAAAGAATGTTTCTTTAGTTAACAAGTCTCATAGATGATGATATAATTTTTCTTACTGACAAGAATATTTAACCTATGTTTATGAATGATTGATTTTTTTTATTTCTGAATATGTCACACATAAGTCAGTTTAGACTCTTTGAACTCGAAAAACCACAATCTTTATCAGTGACAGTTTAGTACAGAAATTTAGCTTCACAACAATGTTTCATGTCTTTTCTAACAATAACAATTTGTCGAATAATTTTCGAAAAAACTGACAGATATAGAAAGAAGAAAGGTTTCTAATCACTGTATGGAATACCATAACTGAGATGATAAATATTTTTCATTAAAGATTATTTGAAAAAAAAAGCTTCAATCAATATCTTCAAATAAATTGATTATACATGGTTATACCAGTTCAAATACTTGATTAATTATTTCCTGTAGAATTATATCTATCAAAATTATTACTTTTCGTACGCTCTAAATATATATATATATGAATGTATCTTATAGCGATAAGAAATCAAAACAAATGTTCTCTTTTTATCCTAGACAAACTTGCTATATATTTACAAATACTAAAATAGAACTTATTATATATATATATTACCAAAGAAAATACATAGATTATCTAAGGTAAAAATAATAACGGGATAAAAAGATATATGAGTCTTATTGATATTAGTTTTCATTAGGAACGTTTTGTTCGTGGAGAATTTTTAATTAATTCTTCAACAATAGTTGGATCATTTAATGTTGATGTATCACCAAGATTACTTGTGTCAGGTTCAACTATTTTACGTAAAATACGTCGCATTATTTTACCACTACGTGTTTTAGGTAAATTTGATGTAAAATGTATTACATCTGGATAAACATGTGCACCAATTGAATCACGTACACTTCGTATAAGTTCTTTTCGAAGTTCTTCACTTGGTTTAACATTACCTTTTAATGTAACAAAACAATACATTCCTTGATTTTTCTTTGGATCTGGATAACCAACAACAGCAGCTTCAGTTACACTTGTATGTTCTTCAAGTGCTGCTTCAACTTCAGCTGTACCAATATTATGTCCAGATATAACAAGTACATCATCCTAAGAAACAAAAAAAAATAAAAAAATAATTTCATATGAAGATAAATAAATTATCATCTACGAACAACTCGACCAGTTATCCAATGATAACCATTTGGTTTTATTTCACAACCATCACCAGTAAAATAATAACCAGGATATGTTTTAAAATAAACATCAACAAAACGTTCATGATTACGATAAAGACTACGTGCTTGTCCTGGCCATGAATCTGCAATACATAATTCACCATGATTTGGTGGTTTTAATGGTTTTTTAGTTGTTTGATCAAATAATTGTGTTTGAATTCCAAAAAATGGAAATGTAGCTGAACCTGGTTCTAATTCCCAAGCATTTGGTATAGGTGAAATCATGATACCACCTGTTTCAGTCTATTTCAAATAGAAAACATTTTTGATATGAAACATAGAGTAAAATTAAAAAAAAATTTTTTTTTTTGATATTACTTGCCACCATGTATCAATGATTGGACATCGATTATCACCTAGAAAGAAAAATCAAATAAATAATTTATTTAAACAATATTAAAATTTTTTACCAACAACAGAATGATACCATTTCCATGCTTCAGGATTAATTGGTTCACCAACACTACCTAAAATTCTTAATGATTGACGATTTGTTTTAGTTACATATGCATCATCGTGTTGCATTAATGATCGTATAGCTGTTGGTGCTGTATAAAAAATATTTACTTCATGTTTATCAATAATGTTCCAATAACGTGATACATCAGGATATGTTGGTATACCTTCAAAAATAACAGTTGTTGCTCGATTTGCTAATGGTCCATAAACAACATCTATATATGAATTATTAAATATTGATTAAGATATTGAAAAAATTTTATTATTTACATGAATGACCTGTAATCCAACCAATATCAGCCGTACACATATACACATCACCGGGATTATAATCAAAACTATATTTAAATGTTAAACTAGTATATGTTAAATAACCACCTGTTGTATGAACAATTCCTTTTGGTGTACCTGTTGAACCACTTGTATAAAGCTATAATAAATAAATTCTTTTTTTTTTTTGTTCTTTGTATTTATTTTTTATTTATTTAAACTTACAATGAATAATGGATCTTCGGCATTCATTCTTTCGGGTTCACATTTATCATTAACTGTTTCCATTTCTTTATGTACCCAAAAATCTCTTCCGTCTGTCCATTCAAGTGTTTTACGTAAATGAGAACAATCATCTTTTAATTCTGTCATACCATGATTTCTTTCAAAAACAAGTACAGTTTTAACATTACTACATTGTTTCAATGCTAAAGCTTGATCAATTTTAGTTTTTAATGGTGAAGATTTTCCACCACGTACACCAAAATCAGTTGTTATAATAACTGTTGAATCACAACCCGATATACGCTCAGCAATGTTATTTGGACTAAAACCTCCAAATATAACTGAATGTACTGCACCAATACGTGCACATGCAAGCATTGCAACACATGCTTCAATTACCATAGGCATATAAAGAGTAACACGATCTCCTTTTTTAACTCCATGTTTTTTAAGTACATTAGCAAATTTTTTAACATCACGTAAAAGTTCAGCATATGTTATATGATGTCGAGATTCAGTTGGTGTATCAGGTTCAAATATAAGTGCTACTTGTTGAGCAATACTATGATCATGATGAATATGACGATCAAGACAATTATAACAAACATTTATTATACCATCTTCATACCATTTAATATCAACACCACGTGAAGTACGATAATCAAATTCTGTATTTTTTATTTTTGTTGGAAATTGATACCAATCTAAACATTCTGCTGCCATTTTCCAAAAACGATTTGGATC